CTCTTCTCAGGGTTAAAGCCTTGTTCTCCCTTGATCATCTCTTTTCCCTCTGCTATAGACCTTTGGAAAATGCACATCATTTTCTCCCTACTGTTCACAATAATAATATGCTGTCCTTCTATACAGAACTGTCCAGAGATCCACCACCTGGAAAACACCTGCCTCCAATTATTTTTCAGTAGTGGCAATAGATTCCATTAACTAGTCCATATTCTTACCTGGTTCACCTATGGCCCAACAGCAAGAATTTCTAAAAAAGCTAACCAACATGATTATTTGTAACCTTGAAATAGAGCTTTTCTCTTTGAGATTTAAATAGCTCATGCAGTGACTGAACTCATAAACACAATCTTAATAGCACCATGCTCCATCCCAAGGGTTTTCAAAATGCTTAATCAGGGAATTATTATAAAAATAAGCACCTGAATGTGAAAAAGTTGAATAAACAGAGACATTTTAGTGATACATGTAAGACATTTAAGTGATAGTAGAGCACAGAATCTTAGGACTCAGAGGTGGAGAGACCTTAAAGGTTCATTCACAGAAAGAACCTCAGAGTCAGAAGGAGTTTCAGAAGGTGTCCAGTCCCACCCATATCTGAAAAAAGACTCCCTTGAAAATGTTTCTGACAAGCAGTTACCCAGTCAACTTGAACCCACTGTCTCTGAAGCAGCCCACTCATTCTCCTTTCAGACAGCTCTAATCAATGTTTTACCTTTAATCAGGCATAAATTTGGCACTTTGCAACTTTCACACATGGTCTCTAATCACTGGGGCCAAGCATAGAAAGTCTACTCTAGTCTCTTCTCCAGGTGACACTCTCAAATACCAGAAAACAGCCATCCTGTCCAGTTCTTCTACCCCACCCCCCAAGTCTTCTCTTCCCAGGGCTAGAGAGGCTCAGTCACTTCAGACAATTCTCATATGTCATGATCTCAAGTCTTTCCACCATCTTCATTATCCTTCTCCAGATTTCTCTCCAGCTTATCCATATCCTTTCTTAAATGCCACACCCTGAATTGAACCCAATACTCTAGATATGGGTGGAACAGAACAGAGTATTTTGACGATTACCACTTCATTTTATGGATAAGGAAACTGAGGCCCAGAAAGGTGAAGTGATTTATCCAAGGTAACTCAGATGGTAAGTGACAGTGCCAGGAAATGGACCCAGGTTCTCTGACTCCAAATCCAAGGCTACTTCCAACAGTTACACATTGCTTCTCCAAGGTTTTTGTCCAATAACTTAGAGTGAGGACAGGAATGCTGAAATAACAATGAGTTAATATTTGGATAGTAGAGGAAGTGTGGTTAACTGGAGAGACAGCTGGCCCCAGAGCCAAAATGAACTTAGTTCAAGCCCCACCTCTGATGCATAGTGTCTATGGGACTCTGGAAAAGTCCCTCATCCTCTCAATGTTTTAGGATGCTCTCTAAGAGTATACACTGCAGAAAAGGTGCTGACTTACATTAACAGAGGAAGTGGCTTACCAGAACCTCCTTATTCTAATGAAATCACAGGTCCAGTCTCTATCCTTATTTGGATATTCATTTTGTGTCTGGAGTTTGCACAAATCATAATATAATTTCCAGAGCACAGTGCAGTGGAAAGACTCCTGGATTTGGACTGAGTAGACCAGGCTTTGATTTCCAGCTCTGCTTCCTGGTAGCTGTGAGAGACCTTGGGCAAGTCACTTAACATTACTGGGCCTAACTTCCCTCATCTTTAAAATGAGGAGGAGCAGGGATTTGCCTAAGTGACCTCTAAGATTATCCCAGCTTTAACATTCTATGAGCCTAAGTTTTTCCATATCCCCTTGGCTGCCGTAAAACAAATTTATTATACTTTCTGCCTAGAGGTGGCAGCACTTGTATCATTTGCTTTCAGGTACTGTCCTTGATTGAACCCAGAAATAAAGCAACCCTACAGGGTGAAGATTCAGTTCAAAGTCAGTAAGAGCCCACTATGTACTAGGCACAGTGCTAGGTGTCAGGGATATAAAGATGGGAAATGAAATAGTTGTTTCTCCCAAGGAATTTATGACAGTATCTGCCTTTAAGTGGGTAAGAACGTGACTTGGAGAAATACAAAAGAATAAATTTTAAACTAATATTACCATACATTTTTTAATCCAACAATTAAAAAAAAAACCTCAAATTTCAAATTCTACCTACAAGGGACAGCTAGGTGGTGCAATGAATAAGGCATTAACCCTGGAGTCAGGAGAACCTGAGTTCAAATCCAGTAGACATGTAGTAACTTCATGACCCTGGGCAAGTCACTTAACACTGATTGCCTCAAAAAAAAATCTACCTACAAGTTATCCTTCCTGATGAGCCTCTCAGTTTCCATTGAAAATAATTTGGAAAACCCTGACCTAACTGAGCTAGTCAGTATAGAAACCCCAGTCTCACTATAGGCTGACCTCACTGTATGCATGTGTTTGCCAGAAAAAAAATGATGTGTGAATTTAATTTTTAAAAACAAAATCCTGTAAGGGAACAGTTTATGTCCAAACAAGAGATAGAGGGAGTTACAGGGGGCAAAACAGATACTTTTTATTATATGAGATTAAAAGGCTTTTGCACAAACAAAACCAATGCAGCCCAAATTAGAAGAAAACAGGAAACTGAGGGGAAATTTTTGCAGCAGGTTTCTCTGATAAAAACCTAATTTCTCAAATACATAGAGAATTTAGCCAAATTTATAAAAATAAAAGCCATTTCCCAGTTGATAAGCGGCCAAAGCATATGAACAAGCAATTTTCAGAAGAAGAAATCAAAGCTATCAATAGTCATATAAATCAATGCTCTAAATCACTGCTGATTTGAGAAAGGCAAATTAAAACAACTCTGAGATACCTCATCACACCTATCAGATTGGCTAACATGACAGAAAAGGAAAATGACAAATGCTGGAGGGGATGTGGAAAAATTGGGAAACAAATGCATTGTTGGTGGAGTTGTGAACTAGTCCAACCATTCTGGAGAGCAATTTGAAATTATACCCAAAAAGCTATAAAACGATTCATACCTTTTCATCCAACAACACTACTACTAGGTCTGTATCCCAAGGAGATTTTTTTCAAAAAGAGAAGGGGGGAGGACCTATATGTACAAAAATATTTATCGTAGCTCTTTTGTGGTGGCAAAGAATTGGAAATCAAGGGGATGTCCATAAATTGGTGAATAGATGAACAAATTGTGATGTATGATCGTGATGGAATACTATTGTGATGTGTGAAATAGTCAGCTGGATGGTTGCAGAAAAACCTGGGAAGACTTATATGAACTGATGCAAAGTAAAGTTAGCAAAACAATGAGAACATTGTATACAGAAACAGCGATATTGCAAGCATAATCAACTGTGAAAGACTTAGCTACTCTGATCAAGACAATGATCCAAGACAATTCCAAAGGAACCCATGATAAAAAATGCTATTCACCTCCAAAGACAGAACTGATGAACTATGAATACAGTCTGAAGCATACTTTTAAAATTTTCTTTATTTTTATTGTTTGATTTTGTGTTTTCTTTTACAATATAGGAATATGTTTTATATGACCTCACATGTATGCTAAAAATCAAATTGCTTACCTTCTCAAGGAGGGAGGTAGGTGAGAGGAAGGGAAAGAATCTAGAACTCAAAAATTTCTAATAATATTTTCTTCTCAATTACATATAAAGACAATTTTAACATTCATTTAAAAATGTTTTGAGTTCCAAATTTTCTCCCTCCCTACATCATCTCCCCCCACCCTGAGAAAGCAAATAATTTGATATAGATGTTCATGTGCAATCATGCAAAACGTATTTCCCGTATTAGTCATATTGTGAAAGAAGACATAGATCAAAAGAAAAAGAAACACAAACATGTACAAAAATATTTATAGCAGCTTTTTGTGGTGGCCAAGAATTGGAAACTGAGGGGATGCCCATCAGTTGGGGAATGGCTGAACAAGTTGTGGCATATATGTGGTATATATAATGTGATGGAATACTATTGTGCTATAAGAAATGATGAGCAGGCAGACTTCAGAAAAACCTGGAAAGACTTATATTATCTGATGCTGAATGAAATGAGCAAAACCAGGAGAACATTGCACACAGTAACAACCACACTATATGAGGACTGACTTTAATAATAGACTTGGCTCTTCTCAGCAATTGGAGGATCTAAGACAACTCCAAAAGACTCACTATGGAAAATGCTATCCACATCCAGAGAAAGAACTATGGAGTCTGAATGCAGATGGAAGCATACTATTTGCTCTCCTTTTCCTTTGTTGTTTTGTTTTATTGCTTCATTCTCATGGTTCCTCCCAATTACTTCTAATTATTCTTTACATCATGACTAATGGGAAAACATGCTTAATATGAGTGTATAAGTAGAACCTATATCAGATTGCATGTCCTCTTGGGAAGGAAGGGGGAATTTAAAATTCAAAATCTTATGGAAGTGAATGTTGAAAACTAAAAACAAATTAATTAACTGCTTAAAAAAAAGAAAGAAAACAGAAACACAAAAAACAAAGTGAAGAATAGAAACAAAATTTTTTAATGATTGCTAAATAATTTTCACACATAATTGGGAAATATTTAATAAAATAAAAAAGCTATATGGAAAAATAAATAAAAACAAAATTTAGGCTTAAAAGCATACCCTTAAAAAAAACCGTATGAACTTGGACAAGTCAAAGGCCTCAGTTTCTACATGGCAGGATGGACTACAAGGATTTTTATATCCATTCGAGCTTTGACTCTAACTATCTCAACAGTACAGAGAATTTCAGAGGTGGAACTTCTGAGGTCTTTCTGACTCTGAGGCCAGTTGTCTACCTCATTACACCAGGATATCTCCCCATACATCCCTGAAAACCCACAAAAGAACTAGGAGTGGGAGGGAATAACTTATTCCTTCTCAAAATGCACAGCAAGAAATGATTTGGGGTTTCCACTATGGTTTTAATAAAAGTTCATTGCCATGCCATGGTCTTACCTTGTAACTTGGGTTCTCATGGCAAAATCCAAGGATCTCATCGACTGCAGCACTTCAACACAGCCTATGTACTGGAGTAAGGGGGGAAAAAAGCACATGTAGGGGAAAAAAAAAGGTAAACACATAGAAAATGTAGATCATGACACAAAAAGTACAGTTTTCGATTTAGCAGCCCCACATTAAAGATATTAGAAATTATCTTCATCAAATCATCAAATCAGGTCCTGATGGCTATCCCTGGGGTTACGTATTTGAATATTAGCCCTGGGCATCTGAATATCAAGGGGGATTTATGGTCAGTAAGACTCTGGGTGAAAATACATAGAAACTCATCAATACCTCCACTACATAGTTGACGGCATTTCTCCAAGTCTTTGTTCCTTGGTTGTTTTGTGGGCACCTCAAAAATGATCTGAATGTTTCTTAGAAATGATAGCTTTCTAATTTTCTTCCACAAAATGACTAATACAGAAATATATTTTAAATGATTGTACACATATAACCTATATCATATTTCTTCTGTGGGGATAGAATTTGGAACTTAAATTTTTTTTTTAAAAATGAATGTTAAAATTGTTTTACATGTAATTGGGGGAAAATAAAATATTATTTTTTAACATTTATGTTTAAAAAAAGAAATGATAGCCTTTCTGTTCCTCTTTCCTTTTGAAGTAGCCTTCGGGCTTCTGGGAGTCTGGCCCATGCTGTGGATGGATAGACAGAGCTGTCAGAAACTGGGTTCTCCCTCTGATAAACCATTGAGGATTTTTAAGGGGAGACCATTATCTTCCTATAGAATTAGAACTCTTTATTATTGTTGGGAAGGTTAAGACAACTATTTGGCAAAGCACAGTGACAAAGGCTATGTCTGCCTCCTTTTTTATCATTCTTTTCATTGTCTTGAATATAGCTGGTCCTTAAATATTTATTGTGGAATGAATAAGGGGAGGGGGGAGGGGGGGATCAGTGTATTTTGTCGTGTCCTGACATGTGGTTTCCTCAAGTGTGGAATTCTTGGTGTGCCAACTTCCCCTTTCCCACCTGTAAGCTGTAATTTAGGAGATAAATTTTGGAATATTGCCTGTGGTACTGAGAGTTTTAGTGAAGGTTACTCAGGTAGTAAATTGGAAAGGCAGGATTTAGGCTAGGTCTCTTCTGACCTAGCACTCTAGATAATTCAGCTCAACAAGCAATTAAGTTGCAAGACCTTGGGCTAGGCAGGGGAGATACAAAGACAAAAATGAAAACAACCATTGTCCTTAAGAACTTTACATTCTACCAGAGGCAGCTAGGTGATGAAGTGTAATATAGAAGTGTCAAACTCATGGCTCAAACCAGATTAAAATATAATTTGGCATATGTTTAGCAAAATAAATAAAAATACAACACAATGTTAATTTGAGGTTTTCTAAGTTAATATGCCACCCATAAAGATCCTTTTCTATTTGAGTTTGACACCACTCATGGAGTGGAGTGCCTTTCTTGGGATTAGGAAGAGCTGAGTTCAAATCCTACCTCAGATATTTACTAGCTGTGTGATCTGGCCAAGTCACTTATTCTCTTAGCCTCAGTTTCCTCTTCTGTAAAATGGTGATAGCAACTCCTTCACATGGTGATTTTAAGAATAATAGGTTAATCAATTTGGAGCTGGAAGAGACCTTGGACATTATCAAGTCGACACTCCCATCCTTCATTTTATTTTGGGCAATTAGGTGGCATAGTAATTAGAGCACTAGATTGGGAGTCAGGAAGATCTGAATTCAAATCCTGCCTCAGACACTTAATAGGCAAATGACCTTGGATAAGTCACTTCCTCACTCCACCTGTTTCTTCATCTGTAAAATGAAGAGGTTGAACTTGAAGGCCTCTAACATCCTTTCCATGATCAACTCTATGTTTTTTCCATCTACTCCTGCCAACACCTTACCTTCTAGTCACACACCCCTTTGACCTGCAGAATTGTTGAAAGCTGGAGCTGGAAGTTCCTTTAGAGGTCACCTAATCGATCTTCTTTACTTTACCAACGATGAAACAGAAAGCCAGAGAGGAGAAGTGGCTTCCTAGGTCTTCAATTGATGCAGCTGCTTCAAGGTTAAGTGGCTATATAATTTCTATTTTTGCTAAGTAAATCCAAAGACTGGGGCAATAAGGTGGAGAAGGAAAGGATTTGGATTGAGGATGGCATGGGAGGAAGAAGCTTTTTATTTAGGCAAAAATTTTATAAAGTCAAGTAGGGAATTCTCAAGAAAAGTGGATCCCACAGGTCACCCCCACCCAGAGATGTGATGGAACCAGGCAGGTGAGCTGATTGTTAAATTTTCAGTGTGAATACTCTGAGGTGTGAACCTCAGAAATCAATAAACACTACAAATCAGGGCTTGAATTGTTGTTTCGTGAATTGTCTAGATTCAAGAAAGTAATGGAGAACAAGTTAATTATGCAGATTAAAATGAAAGAATATCATGGGTACATTTTTTGAGGGGGCAGCTGGTTTGTTAATCATTTACCAGCACACCTCTGCTCCCACCCCATGGCTGGCCCTACTTGCCAGTCTAAATCTCTTCTTTCTGCAGCTTACTCAGGCACACTTGGAGTACCCTTTCTCTCAATAGCCCACAGGGTTTTCAAGCTGAGCCCCCCCCCAAAAAAAAATCTTCATTGGCTTCCTATTGACTCTTGAATAAAGTGCAAACTCCTGTGTCTGGCATTCAAGGCCATTCATAATCTGGACCAGGGGAGAACACTTCCTAAATGAAGTCTCTAATATTCAGGTGAAATCGTTTTATTACTCCCCCCCCCACCTTCTCCAGTGACCTTTGCATTTTAGAGGGTAATGACTAGCTCAAAGAAATTAATAAAACAAAGTAGAATTTGTTGGGGGTGGGAAATGCCTTCCCTAGAGCTCTCAAATCACTCCTAGATGGGCCACTGCCTACTTTGCCCACTAGCAAAACACTTGCAATGTTCCTGTCTCCAACAGTCCTCTCCTCAGAACCCACTTTTACCGGCCTGCCAGTGATGGGCACGGGGATATACTTCCCAGCTAGTTCACATGGATATGATGAGAGACTCAGAAGAAACAGGAGCCAGACTCCACCATCATTCCAAGAGTGAATGAGTTTCCATTCTACCTTGGGTAGGAGAGGCTACTCTAACAAGAAAGGGGGGGGGGGGAAGGGGGGAGGAAATCATGCCAGAATTTTGCAACAAATTACCATTATAGCCAGAATGGAGTTGATCTTATCATTGACTCACAAAAGCCTATTTTAGTCAAAGACCTTTCTCTGGAGAATGAATGACAAAATCAGAGAGAGAGACAGAGACAGCAAGAGGCAGAGACACAGACACACACACATACACAGAGAAGTGTTTAAAAATGACATTTATCTACTTCTTTGTTGCATAAACTGATGTAGACTGAAGCTCAAGGTTTTTGAGGGCTGGGTAAGGAAGGATTTGGTTTATTAATAAGGGCATGAGCCATAGTGAAGTCAAACAAAGTCTTCATCATCTCTTCCTTTTCAGTCTACCTGCCTCAGATGTCTCCATTCTCCAATCCATACCCCCACATCTACCAAAATAATAGTTTTTATTTTAATTTTTCAATTTATGGAATAAAACAAGCATTTCCATAACATAACAAAAAAAAAAGGTGATTGCACATGAAACTGCAAATCTACTATATACAACTTGCTATTCCTTTTAAGATATTTCTACAACACAGGTCTGACCATGGCACTCCACCACCACCACCACCACCCATCTCAAAGCTCCCGTGGCTCCCAATTGCCTTTAAGATAAACTCATCATTTTGGTATTCAAAGCTCTTTGCTCTCTATCCCCAGCCTCATTTCCTGTTTCAAGGTTCAATACACATCTGTTACTTCTCTTCATATAGTCTATCTTCCAGCAGAACGTCCTGTTCCACATAGACATTTCATCTCCTTTCTCCCTGCCTTTGTAAGGGTTATCTCCCATGCCAGGAATGCATTCACTCCTTCCTCACCCTGCCCCCTTACAATCCATAGCGTCCTTCAAGTCTCAGCTCCAATATCACGTGGGATATGAGATCTCTCCTGATCCCTTCAGCTGGGAGTGTACTGCAGCCTACCCCCCTCCCAAAATTACTTTGTGTTTACTGTGTATATGTTTGCATTTGCTTCTATGTGCTGTTTGTTTTGTTTTGTTTTGTTTTGTTTTCCCCTCTGATGGAATATTAGCACCTTAAGGGAAGGAACTGCTTCCCTTGTCTTTGTACCCCCACTGCTTGACACATAGTGGCTGTTTAATAAATGCGTGTGGATTGATTGGGCAGTTGATCAATATGTTCATCCACCATTTAACAGAAAAGTGAAACCCAGAAATGATAAATGACTGTGCCCAAGCTCAATGAATTTAAGTGATTGGCTTGGGTTCAGCCAGTCAATGTAATTTTAATCAGCTGGGACTCAATCTTAGGATCCTTGAGCCCATTGTCCAGTGCTAGCTATATAATAAGTATGAAAAATCATCATTAGAATGGGTTTATGCAAATAGTTTCAACCTTGACTTCTTGCTGTTCTGTTGTGTCCAACTCTTTGTGACCCCCTATGGCGTTTTCCTGGCAAAGATACTGGAGTGATTTGCCATTTCCTTCTCCAGCTCATTTTATAGATGAGGAAACTGAGGCAAACAGGGTTAAGTGACTTGCCCAGGGTCACACAGCTAGTAAGTGTCTGAGACCACATTTGAACCCAGTCTTCCTGACTCCAGGCCCAGCGCTCTATCCACAACTCGTTTGTCTCTTTTGCTGCCCTACTTGACTTCTATTGGAGACAAAAGAACTATATCAGTTTTCATTTGTAAAACACTCTCCTCAAAAACAATCTAAGTAGTATAAAATCATCCCTGTTTTACAGATTATGACACTGAAACTCAGAAAAATCCAATGATTTGCCCAAGGGCATATAGGTAGTAAGTGCTGAAACTAGTACTCAAGCTCAGGTCTTCAGACTTAGGACCAATGTCTCACTCCACAATACTGCCCTCCTCTGAGAATGGGCTTCTAAAGACTATGGAAAATAGGAAGACT